AACCAGATCCCACAGCCACAGGAAAATAGAAAAGGCAGGTTGGTGGGTCCAGGTACTGCGACAGCCACATCCTGCAGCACTGGGAGACCATGTGGACGGGAGGGAGCCCAGGGTCCACGCAGGCCACACCTGACACTGCATGGTTACTGCCACGGATGTGGAGCTCAGCAAACTGTGCCTTGAAGCCACAAAAGGTAACGCTCATATAGCCTGAGACCTCAACAATAGCAAATCAAGTGTAAAACGTTTCCTGGGTCCAAGCTATACAGTGTGGGAGGCGCTTGCTCAGTGCCCGGCCTCCCCACAGAACCCCGAGGCCTGCCAGGAGCCAGCCCTGAGCACTGGCAGCGGGAAGGGAGGAAACTGGACACCATGGCGAGCTCGGAGCTGGAACAGTGAATGCCTGACACTTCTTATCCATAGCTTTATAAGTCACGGTGAGGAAATAAAAAATTGAGGAACAAAACCCAAGTGAGACAAAAGCAACTTCAGAAATACAACAACCATGGGGTCAGAGTGACAGAACAGTGGCGAGGTGCTTGCCTTGCATGCGGCCAGCCTGGGTTCAATCCCCAGCATCCCATGTGGTTGCCTCAGCCCACCAGAAGTGATCCCTGAACGCAGAGCCAGGAGTTAGCCCTGAGCACCTCTGGGTGTGCCTCCCCTCAAAAAACAACAACAAAAAAAAACCCAAAGAAATACAAATACTGATATTGTGGAGATAACTCCTAAAAAAGATGAAATCAGGAAATCACCCTTCAAGGGAAAAAGTGATTTTTAAAAACTTCCCCCAGAGTTAAAAAATTCAGCTTCTATCATTTTACTGATTCAGGTTTCAAAAGTGAGCTGAACCCAAACTAAATGAGCAGCAGGAGGGCGCGAGGTGCTAACGAAGCTGGGGGCCGGGGACTGTGCTCTCATTATCACACGCCTTCCCAGCCTGCTCCGGCTGAACCCGGATTCCCTAGATGCAGGAGCTAGTGGAGATGCCGCCACCGCCAGCAGCTGGGAGGAAGGTGGGAGGGACAGGGAGTGCAGATGATGACTGGCAAAGGACCTGACACCAGGAGAGGGCCTGGCACCACCTTTCCCCGGGCGCCCACAGCCCGCCTGCCGCCTGGCCCCAGGCCCCAGTCACCTCAAAGGCGGCCAAGATCACCTTGGCCTTCTTGCTGAGCACAGCGCCCACGGCGTTGAAGTTGCGGTCTTGGATCTCAGCGTAGAGCTCCTCGGCTGAGTTCAGCGGCAGCTTCTTGGACTCTGTGGGCAGGTCCTGCCCGTCACCCTGCCTCTTCAGGGCGAATTTCTCGGGTGGCAGCTTTACATGACCTGCATGGGAAGGGACACCCAAGTGAGACTCCAGAGACTTCCTGTCAGGGGAGAGCACTGGGCTTTGAGTCACTAGATGCGCACGAGCGTAGGACGCTCACGCTTTTCACGCACGGCTTCCCTGGCCTGGCCCGCGGGACGCCTCCTGCCACTGCCAGCCCGAACTGAACTCAGGATGGGGCCACCCGAGGAAACATGCCCCAGGGCGGCCTAACTGCAGGTCTGTCCTGCTGGCGCGTGCAAGTGCATGCCGTCTATACCGCCATTTCAACAAGCCAAGAGGAGCCCAGGATGGGGCTGGAGTGATAGCACAGCAGGGAGGGTGTTTGCCTTGCACGGAGCAGACCCAGGTTCAATTCCCAGCATCCCATATGGCCCCCTGAGCACCGCCAGGAGTAACTCCTGAGTGCAGCACCAGGAGTAACCCCTGTGCATTGCCAAGTGTGACCCCTGTCACTGTCCTCCCATTGTTCATCGATTTTGCTCAAGCGGGCCCAGTAACGTCTCCATTTTGAGACTTGTTACTGTGTTTGCCATATAGAACACGTCACGGGTAGCTTGCCAGACGTGGCCATGCAGGCAAGATACTCTCCGAAAAAGAAAAAGAAAAGTCAAAAGAAAAACAAAAACAAAAACAAAAACAAGATCCCAGGAATCATCTCAGCATGGAAGTTTGCTTGAGGGCGGGAGACAGCTCTGACGGCTTCTTTCCTTGCTGTTTCCTTTCTCTGATTTTTGGGCCAAACCCATCAGTGCTCAAGCCTTATTCCTGGCTCTGTGCTCTGGGCTAATTCTTGGCAGTGACTGGGGGAACCATATGCGGTCCTGGGGACCAAACTCACCCTAACTGCTGCACTGCCTCTAGCTCCAAGTTGGTTCCTTTCAAAAAATCATCTCCTCCACTTTCAACACAAATCCCGACGTGTCTACACACAATCAGCTCCACTGCTGTGGGTCCAGAGAGACGGGTCATCGGGGGCAGCGCACGCTCAAGTCCAGCTGTCTATTCCTCTGAGCACTGCCCCGTGTGGGCCCTGAGCACTGTGGGGTGGGTGCTGAGAATCATAAAGCAACAACAAGAACTCCTGCATCGGAGAATGTGGGGAGCGAAAGTGAACGACGGAAGAAAAATACTTCTCGGATGCTTTCCAAATCCTAAGCCCCTCGGAACAGCCCGGGCACCAGCGTCTGGAGACAGCACGCCACGGTGGCCGCGGGACCCGGGGCCTGAGCACATGCTGAGATACACGAGGTCGGCAAGACCTCGCATTCCAGCTCAAAGCAGGGGGGCAGCCGCTGGCCCAGGCAGCCTGCACGCAGCTCCTGCACGGGCCTGCCATCGCCCTCGGTCCAGCCACGGGCGCAGAACTGGGGGGTTATGGGGAAGCCCAAGTTCCCCTTGTTTTTCAGATTTCTCTTAATTGTTTCTTCTTGGGTGGGTCACACCCAGCAATGCACAGGAGTCACTCCTGGCTCTGCACTCAGGAATTACTCCTGGCAGTGTTCAGGGAACCATATGGGATGCTGGGAATCGAACCCGGGCTGAGCCGCGTGCAAGGCAAACGCCCTACCCACTGTGCTATCACTCCATCCCTCTCCCTTAATTAAATGTTTGATCAGAAGTAAGTGTGTGATGTGAAGAGACTGTGAGCTCCCGGAAGTCCCTCCCCCCCGGAGGCACCCCACAAGCCCCATCTCTCACACCTCCGCACCCCCAACCCCAGCACCTCTGCCAGATCCCTGGAGAGACTTGCAGAAGCACCAGGAGGTAGGGAACCCTCGCACGGGGTGCTCCCGTGCCAGTGAAAGTTCGGAGCAGGAGTCTGGGGAGGGCCTGTGTGTGGCATCACCCCCAGCTGCTGCCAGGCACAGCCCCGGTGGGCCCAGGGCCACGGACTGGCCCCACAGAGCAGAAATTCACCGAGATCAGCCCCACAGTCCCTTGGGCACTGCTTACAACTGTCCCCACAAAAGGAAACAACTTAAGAATTTATCCTTCGGAACAACTTGTAAAAAACAAACCAGAAACACCCCCATAATCATGAAAGAGCAGGAAAACGCTTTGTTGTGTGGAAATGCCTCCATGTGTGGTCCTGTTCTGCTTTCGTGGCCACTGTCACTGAGCCACGCATTCACCACTGCAGTGACATACACACACACACACACACGAACACACACACACACACACACACACACACACACACATACACATACAAGCCATCGCTATCCACTCTGCGATAACCAGCTTGGCACACTGGACAGACAGCACTGTCTGGACTTGGCCAGCACTCAGCAGCTGCAGGGCTCTGTGTCCCCAGAGAAACCCCATGCAGTTAGCTGCATCCCCGTCCTTCCAGACCGGCGCTCTATACCCAGGGCTGTTTCCCCAGCCCCCGGCCAGGGCCACTCCTGAAGGCGCCGGAGTTACCCCTCTTGCGGCCTGTGGCTCCCTGTTCTGAACAAAAGACACGAATCAGACTGTGGGAAACTTCTCAGACTGTATCCCAGCAGGAGATACTCCCGGCTCAGTGCTCACTGGATGAGGCAGGAGCGCGGATGGAACCGAGCGCTGGCTGTGCGCCTGGCACTAGCCCCGTGAGGTTTCCTAGCCCCCACTCAGATCTGAAATGCTACAGAATCTAACATCCGGGGCCAAAGTCCCCTGACCTTGGACCCAGGCACCCCTCATAAACGCTCTATTCCTCACGCCTCCCTGGGCGGCCCGAGCAGCAGGGCTGCACACCGCATGGCCCTCCGCACAAGGCCTTCATCTCGGTTTCCCCGATGGTGTCCTGGCTCGAGCTCGCTTTAACCTTGGGCTGAAAGTCAGTGCCTGACATTTTCAAGTATTCTGACTTACCCACAAAGGCCACACCTTTAAAACAAGACACTTTTGAGATTGATTTTACTCAGCTAACCTATTAGTAAATGATGTCACTTCACTTACTGTTCTGGATGCCATAAATTTCATCGATGAGTCCTTCGTATGTCGGCTGAGTCGCAAGGGGCGTTAATGAATCCACATTTCAATCAAGCAACAAGAGGTTATCAAAAACAGGAAATATTGAATTCTGACTTTCTGTAAACTCTCTCTTCATCCTCATCAGCATATTGGCCACTTGCTGGGAACAAAGTACAGAATCAGGGAGAGCCTTTTTAGCAATGGGCGGATTTTAAAATGAAGCTAAAAGGAGCCCGGAAATCCAAAATTTAAAAATAAGACAGAAAAGAATGGAACAATAAAATAATACAAGATAGGCCCGAGACAGTATGGTGGGTAGGATGCTTGGCTTGCAGGTGGCTGACACAGGTTCAATTCCTGGCACCACATAGGATCCCTCAAACACTGCCAGGAGTGAGCCCCGAGCACTGCTGGGTATGCAGAGGGTGGGAGGAGGGAGAGGGCGAGAGAGGGAGGGAGAGTAAGGATGGAAAATAAAAGATAAATAACAGAAAAGAGAAAAGGAAAGAGGGCTGGGAGACAGCAGAGGGGCCAGGGGTCACACCTTGCACGCAGACAGCCTCAATTTGGTGGCCCTAGCACAGAGCCAAGAGCACTACGAGATGAAGCCCCAAACCCCACCCGTAGGAGAGAGGCCTCCCTTCCCGCCCAGGCTCAGCCTTGGCGCACTCGCCCTTGCTGAAGATCTAGGGGATGGTCCTGGACAGGCCTACAGCGTCATCAGGCCCTTGGCCACGTGGTACAGGCCCGTCTGGTCGCTGTCCAGGCAGCACTCCTGTGGGAGAGGGCCAGGCGCGTGGGCACAGGCTCTGTGAGTCAGCACCGAGGCCTCAAGGCAGCATCTCTACTGGGGGCGAGCACTGCTGGGCGGGCGAGGAAAGGCTGGCCTCCGCATGCCCGCGTGACCACACAGCACAACACGCTGGGCTTGCAGAAGGGCAGGTAGCCTCTCTCACATACAGCAGCGAGTGTCACAGGGGACAGCAGGAGGGCAGCCACGGTCTCGGAGAAGGGCCACAAGGTCCACACACACAGACAGAAAGAAACATCTTTGGCCCAGAAAGAGCAAAGAGCACGCACGCGCCCCCCAGCAGGGTGGTTCAGCAGCGCTGACAGAGCACACACGGTCCCCAGCAGGGCCTCAAGATCACTCCTGTGCCTCAATCCCTTCATCCAGCAAGTGCAGAGAGCAGAGGAGAAAAATCACGCAACGCGCTTCACCTGCACTCCACCTGATGGGGCAGCACTGCTGGTGCCCGTCGCGGGACTCTCTTTTTATTTTTTTTCTTTTTGGGTCACACCCGGCAATGAACTGGGGTTACTCCTGGCTTGTGCACTCAGGAACTACTCCTAGTGGTGCTCCCGGGACCATATGTGATGCTGGGAATCGAACCCACATCGGCCACATGCAAGGCAAACACCCTACCTGCTGTGCTATTGGTCCAGCTCCTCATTGTGGAATCTTTGACACTGTCTAAGGCAGCGGCCAACAGGCGTACACCCCAAAGGCATGAGGACGAGGGGTGCAGACTGAGGGTGGGGTGGAGAGAGAGACCTCCCAGAGAGCCTGGCCCAGAGTGAGCATAACATCCACAAAGATCCCGTAGGATGTCTCTGCCAAGTCTGGGGTGCAGCCTCACACTTCAGTCCAAAACATACTGGTCAGGATGTCCAGAGCGGGAACTGTGTCTGCCTGCGGATAGCTAAGCCGGCTCCTGCCTGGCCTGCCGAGCCCCGAGAACCCAAACAAAACATTCATTTTGAAAAACGGCGTATTACTACAGAGACACTTCTAACAACTCCCACCCGGCGAGGCTCAGGGGATACCCCTGGCTCTGCACTCAGGAATTATTCTGGTGGTGCTTCGGGGACCATATGGGATGCCGGGGATTGAACCTGGGTCAGCTGCGTGCAAGGCAAATGCCCTCCAAATGTATATAGCTCCAGCCCTTGGAATTCCTCTTTAACAGCCACTAGGGTCATAACTGGTGGTGTGTGGGTCCCTCCTGTCCTGAACTCGGGGCTCCCCAGGTGATGTGGGCTTGGGGGCCTTTGTGGTTCAGGGCGGGAGAGAAGGCGTGAATGCAGCATCCACGGGGGGATGTGGGGCCTTTGGCTCCGACCTGTCTCGGGTCTGTCTGTTGGGATGGCCTTGCCCCGCCCACGCAGGGCCACAAGCAACCCTGGGTGTGACCGAGACAGCTCCTATCCTCAGCTGGGCTGACCAAGCCGCTTCCTCAACGCTTCCGCACTGCTGACTGGGAAAGGGAGCAGAGAGACCGCTCCCAGACCTGCAATGGCTTGGATGGAAGGCGAACCCCTAGTCCTGTCACCACACAGGGGCAGGCAGGCCCCTGTCCTGTCACCACACAGGGGCATGCAAGCCTGTGTCTTGTCACCAAACAAGGCCATGCAAGCCCCTCCCTGCTTCATGACTGGGGTGGGGAGAGACCATCAGGGGAGCCCAGGAAAGTTCTGGATTCCACAGGCTGAAGCCCAGAGACGTGAGCAAACCCACAGGGAGCTGGGTGACAGCAGCCCAGAACCCAAGCGAGCCCCAGGTTCTTTCTCTTAAGGTGCAGCTGAGACCAACATGCCGAGGGGAAATGGTGCGCGGAAATCTGGTGATGCACCTGCATTCTAGAAAGGTCGTGTCTTGAGACCAGCAGCAGCAGTACCACAAATCAACTCACACGCCCAAGGAATGCAGGGAAAAGCAGTCGCATCTCAAACACACCTGCACAAGCTTCCAATGATAGAGGGCGCAGAGGGCGTAGACAGGCACTGGGAGCGTTGGGGCCGTGCACGGGTTCAGGCTGACTCCCTGGCTTGGCTCTGGGGGTGACACCTGACGGGGCTTGGGGGACCGTATGGGGTGCCAGGGAATGAACCCGGGTCTGCAAGGGACAAGGCAAGTGCCCTACCCACATTACTATCTCTCTGGCCCGGTACGCCGTTTTTTGAAGACATTATCAAGCCGATGTGTTTCCCCCTTGCATCTTCCCCTTCATTCCAGTATTTATTTTCCCTTTCCCTCCCTTTCTGGCTGAGGCTGAGGGTTGCACACTTTAGGTGGTGGTTACCCACTTGGGGGGGGTCCCCCACTCGGCCTGCCAGAACTCCAGCCATGCCTAATTTTCCCTATTTCCAGTGAAGAATGTGCCATAGGAAAAACAACTGGGTGAAAACTCAAATAAATCAATGCTTTTGGGTCTACAGATTATCTTAAGGGACTCAGCATGGAGAAACCTCACCCCACAGAAGAAAGAGCCAGAGTTCTGGCCCGGGCACCCCTAAGAGCCAAGATGACACTATGAAAGAGAAATTTTTCAGAAGTGCTCCCTGTCATAAAGATAGTAAACAAAACATATAAAATCATATTTGCAAACAAAAAACAACCTTTCAGAAAGAGACAATATTTAAAAAAGAAAAACTCCGGGGGACCAGATAGATAGTATAGTGGGAAGGTGCATCCCTGGCATCAAAGAGTCAAATATGGACCCCTGAGGACCCCTAAGAGTAACCCCTGAGCATCACCAGGTGAGGCCCCAAGCAAAAACCAAAGCAAAGCAAACAAATAAATATGTGCTGAAAATAACCAGTAGGAAACAGGCTGGGACGGGCGTGTGGGAGAAACAGAATTTCCCGCACACCCTGCACCCAGACCTGAGGTAACACTGCAGAACCTCAAGAGTTTGAATGAAAAATGTAAGCAATTTTATTTCTTGAAAATGAGAATGTAAGATTAGAGTCTTCAGGTCTTGCCAAGACTCAATCAATGGGAAAGGCGAGTCATGGAAACAAAATCACTCACAATGGGCTAGCTGGAAAAACGCAGTGAGAGACTTGACTATTTCTGGCTGGAGCGGTCCTGCCTTCCACTCTCAAAGCTTCCTCCACAGTGAATTCAGGGTGGGACAGGCACAAGGACAAACATCGAACAGCAGCAGAGAAACACCAGAAATAAACACATTTAAGGACAATTAATTTTTGAGAGTTCAGTAAGAGCAACAACAATTTTAAGCCAATTTGTTGGAACAGGAGGGTCTCCATAAGCAAGAGGAGCAGCGGCCGGAGAGACAGCACAGGGGAAGGCGCTGGTCTTGCACGCAGCCAATCTGGGTTCTAGCCCCAGCACCACATATGGTCCCCGAGCATGCGCAGGAGTGATCCTTGAGCACAGAACCAGGAGTAAACCTTGAGCACTGCTGGGTGTGGCCCAACTCCCATCTCTCCCCAAAAGGAAGAAACTGGACACTTCCAGGAATCACTAAAATGCCAGTGTGAGTGTCACCATCACAAATGAGGCAGAAACGAGTGTCAAGTTCAAAGGGCAAACACTGAACATACTCTGAAGGCGCCCTCCGACACCATGGAGAGAAGATCCCCGTCGAAGGGAATGAGGTCCAGGCTGTACTCCTCCCTACGGATGAAGGAGCCCAGGACGCCCAGGTCCTTAAGCCGCTGCGCACACAGCAGGCTACGCCGGTACACAAACAAAATGTGGAAATCTCTTGTGGGGCCACGTCTGTCTTCACTGCAAGAGAAGGACCGTGCGTTGGCCCGAGGCCCCGACTCGAGGACTGCTCCCCAGGGCCCCACCTGTGCCTGACACACAGTGGGCTCTAAAGAGACGCTTATGAGCTAACCCCCCACTACTGACTCGGCCCAAGTTTCGAGTTTTCCTGCTCTCTTGATGTGATGCTTTTTCTGGAAACCGCTGACCTGTGCTCTGCCAAGGGGCAGTGCTGCTTCTCTTGGGCCATTGATGGGACATGAAAACTCTCAGGGTTGGGGCTGGAGCAACAGCGCAGTGGGTAGGGCGTTTGCCTTGCACGCGGCCAACTCGGATTCGATTCCCAGTTCCCAGCATCCTATATGGTCCCCTGAGCACCACCGGGGGTAATTCCTGAGTACAGAGCCAGGAGTAATCCCTGTGCATTGCCGGGTTTCACCCAAAAAGAGGGAAAAAAAACCCCAAAAACCTCTCAGGGTTATTGCAATGGACATCTGTTTCTTGCAGAAAAAAAAATGTTTCTATTTAATCAAGCGATGTCTCTAGGAAAATAAATGGTTGCTTCACACCGTGCCCGATCTTGCGCAAATACCCCGCATGCTTTTAAGTCCGTCCGTAGGGGCCACGTCGATCAAACATAATGCAGACTGGGCTGGTGCACTTCCTCCATAGATGCTGCAGCATTAAATTTTAATCAGCTTCGTCTGACTTTGCTTATGAAATTTGAGCATATGGTATTCAGTACTTGAAAAAGAACCACTAGCTGTTTTTCTTTTTATAAAAAAATCTGGGTCCTTCTACTGAGACAGGCCGGAGCTTCCTACTGTCCTGAGAGAGAGGGTTTCTGTGGTTTGCCCTGCCTCCCCAAGCCCCAATGCACAAAGTTTCCCATTCTCTATTTATAGTTTTTGGGCCACACCTGCAGGTGCTCAGGGATAACTCCTGGCTATGCACTCAGAAGTCACTCCTGGAAGACTTGGGGACCACACTGGGTTCCGAGGATCTATCCTTGTCTGACTGCAGACTATCCTACTCCTGACCCCCCATTCTCCTCCGACACACTCTCACATCTGTCCAAAGATCCACTTCTTAAAGCACTGGCAAGCAAAGGTGTCCTGATGAGCACTAAAACCACTAGAGGAATGATTCCGTATGGACCATGTATCAGTTCTGAGATACCTAAGCACATTTTCAGCAATTATATCCATCAGTTCTAGCCGGGGTCTGATGAAAAAAATGATATTCTTAACATCCGCTGC